AAATCGTAAACCAATCTACATGCTTATACTAATAATTATGATAAAAAATATTATATGGTCTGCGCAGGTTAGGTCTTGCAGTGAGTACTTTTTATGTAAGTTAATGAACGTTATTTTTCTGTATCAAATAATAATGGGCAGTGAAATGGTCTTAAGTAGGTAGACACTAGGTAGGTAGGTACTTAACTATTATCGCGTACCTATAGGTACAACAGCAAAAACATTGACGACTAGACGATATCAATAATCATGACATCACAAGGGTAAACAATCATTAAAACATGGATATAAATATAATATATAAATAAATACGGTTGCAGGTGGTTGCGTCATAGCGATAAAGTCGAACTCTGGCTGCTCTGCTAATCGCTATATATATATACCTATATAGTGCACCTGCGCCGTGCRTGAGTTTTCGAATTGAAGTTCAAGTGCGAAAAAACAAGTCACGTTATTGTGTCAATGACAAGACTGCTGCAGTAATGCCTCAGATTTCCTTTCGTTTTTCTCATGATTGTTTCGCGTATATACATGTATATGGGATATGCTCGCGGTTCTCTTGGATACACGTTGTTATCCATACCGCAGCGATGTGTAAGACCTTTCTCTTTTAAAATCGCGTGAAGACACGATCTGTCTTTACCTAGCTAATTGTCCGTTGCAGAGCGACTCTTTGTCGTCTGCCGACGATTTTTCCTARGTGAAACGTGAAAACCAAATCGAACCGCGACCAATGTTTTAACTTTTAAGTTGTAGTGTTGTATTATAGTTTAATGTCGATTRCGAGTATATATAGGTTAGAGTGGTTAGACTGACTGGAATTTAGTGCGGTGGAAGATCGTAACGGGAGGATGTGAGACGTGGAAATTGTGAGTTACGTTTGTGGGGTAAAATTTGAAAGACCCATCAACAATTGAACAATCTACTATCTAGGTATTATAACGCGACGCATTCTGTATAGCATTATGACCTATGACAATTTTCAGTTTATCCACCCGTTACCTAATAGGTATAAACTATGAAACATATATGATGGACGGCGTGCACGAAATTCTAGTTTCCGCGTATACGACTCGATTAATTTCCATGTGTTTGAAAAAATGTATTTTTAAAAAGGAACCCAACCCGGTTTCGGAATGTTGTTATTAAGTCGCCGCAGCCAGGCACCGTTGTTCGTCCTACATTCTTTCGCCCATCTCTCATGCGACGACCACGCTATTCATTTTATTACATTATTATTATATACTACGCCGGACAAGTAAACATATATAGACTCATTTTCGTCCCACCCCTCTTTCTGCCATCGTCAAATCTACCTTGTCTAATAGGTATTATATATTTATATATTATACTGCATGACCGAGTCGATCGATCGTCGTCGCGGCCATACCGACGACAGCCGGACAATTTTTTTCCTATTTAACGAGGACAATAATTTCCCTGTGTATATAATTATATATATAAATATATACTTTTTGTTACATTTGTGGTATAATGGCACACCGGATGTACTAAATGCTTGATTATTTTGGGGAATAACTAAAATCTATGTTTAACGTATATTTTATGTATGGACTGGTTTCTTTTTACATACGATATATAAACAATATACTTAATAGTTAATACAATGTAATATAGGTACATGTCATTAGTTCATTACATACATTTTCTCTCACTTAGCTTATAAAAACTACTATTATATAGGTAAATATAGAAATATATATTATACACGAAGATGAAGTATAATAACAACTAATAAGTAGGTACCTAATTTAGTATATTACTATTTTATATCTTACTTATTTATTACAGATTTTAAATTCTGTATGAAAATAAACAGTTACGACGCGAGTTGAATTAACTCTGTTCGTTATAAATTATATTTTAAAAGATTTTATTTAATGATATTCACGAAATATAAAACTCRATTTTAGAAATGTATCAAAGTTAATCTTCACTCAAAAGTCTGTGAGTTAACAAAATATTCTTCTAAAAAATCGAGTATAAAAAAGTTAAAGAGTTCAAAAAGCCATATTTTATTAATTAAAAGATCTTACACTTTAAAAACAACTGAAGAAATTCGAGAGGTCATTGCTCATCATATATATTTATACATTATACTTGTATTTTTGCTTAACATAATAATAATATTTTAAACTTATCAGCGGCTAGTAACAAGTAAGTCCCTATGGTGGTTGATTGTATATATTTTGGAATCTTATACCATGAAGTATAAAAATAATGATTTGACATAGGCCTCGTTTATGACCTTCTAATAATATTCTCATCTAATTACTAAAATTAATAAATTGAACCTTGGCAACATTCTTTCATTATTGTATTCATACTCGAGTAATTCTCAACACCTGGATTGAGAAAATATGTACTTATTATGTTTATTGTTATTTAAAACTACTACTACTTGAGGTAAAAATATCTACGTCAGGTTGACGATTGCCTGCCATTACCAAATTCTAACTGAACATTTTATACTTATAWATATTATACTGCCGGCGATTATGAGGCAAGCATTAATAGTTACCCACTTGTCTTTGCACATTGCAGTATTATAATACCGCTTAATATCATTTTCAACTTTACTGTTCATTATATTTAGTTATCTACCAAAGAAATAATTTTGAACTTGTTATAAATTTAATATTAATGCGCATAACGATATAGGAATTTTGAATTTATTCGTAATTAGATTTAATTATAAAATATACATTTTATTTCTAATTAATATGCTTTCATCATTATTTTTGAAATTGTAATTTCCTTATTTTTTTAATATTTTATGAACTAACTATCCAAATCTTAATATAGGACGGCAAATATAAACTGCAATTGCAAGCCAGTATATTAATCAATATTGATTTAACTTTCCTCAATTGAATTTTATCATGTATTTATGTATCCTCTCTCAACTTTCGTATGACTGTATGAGCTCAGATAACAGGRGAAAAATACATTTTTGCAACTTTCACGTAGTCGGGTAGTCTCCTCATTCCAGTGATGTTATCACTTTAATACTATATGCCAGACCATGCCTATATATCTAATAATATTTAAGTATAATATAAACCCATTATTACAGTATATCTTAAATCTTTGTCTAACAAAATCTAACGTATAATCGTAACTGTATATAAGACAATACATTTATAGTCATTAATATAGATACGGTTCGGGAACCCAAAACAACGATTAATATAAAATATAAATGTGACTTGGTATACTTTTACGTGTTACCTATATATATCTTATATAAAGTAAAAATCATAATAACTTTTACTTCCACATCATATTATATGAAGTATTAGTTTATCACTATACTTACCAATAGTTAAGTATAGTAYGGTAGGTAGGTACCAGGTACTCTTAGAATCCTGACATATACCTACATGTTGTGCGGATAATATCTGCAATTATTTCATAACGTAAATGTCGTATTAAGCATTATGTTTTTTAGACGTATATAAAATGTCACACCCTAGTGACCTTTAAGTAAATATATGAGTTATAGTGTATCATTAAATGGGTTAGTTGGGTCTTATACAAATATTATATATCATTACATGATAAATGGTAGATAGATGTATTTTACATACATAGATTATTGATACAATTAATATCGATGACATTTAAGTATCATGTTTTCAGTCATTCTAATATTTGTTAAATATTAACCTTATAATCTATATTAATATCTAAAAATACCTATTAATATTAATAATATATTTGTTTTCATTGAGTAATAAAAACTTGARTTATAAATTACTTACAAAGTTACAACTAACGTTAATAAACAAAAATTCAAATGTTTTTAATTATTATAAATTTATGAATTTTATTTTGATTATTATAATCAATTTTTTGATTACTAAAAAAATTTATTTTTTAATCTTTCTGACAATTATGTTATTGATAAATATATTCATAATTTTCCTACTCCCTCAATACAATGTTTTTATTACTCAGTTATATTGGCTCAGTAAACAGATTTTTAGATTCTCAATAGTTTAAAATAAGATGTTTATATGCTCTTAAAACCTTAAATTACTCTCTTTATACTCCATTAAAAGTTGGTAAAATATACATTCATAGGCTTTTTTTCGAGGGGAGGGATTTAGTAATTCTATTGTTTAATTTCATAAATAAATAATATTATATTATTTTAAGTTTATTGTTACTTACTTTTACGAAGTCTTTGATAAGCAAATCGCTCATATTTATTATTCCTAGCTATAGAGCTGCATAAAACTAATACTGAATATATATTTATGTGAAAACCTAAAAATCGGTTCAGTTACCGATGATCGAAATTTTGTCTGGTATACTCGTTCCGATTTGTGACATTGAGATAGCTTTTACTTAATATAGCATATGGCGTATAGAATGTGCTGATCATTATGCATGTGCGGTATTCCAGTTATAAGTTAATAGAATGTTTGAAGATTGATTTTGAAAATTAGTGGTTGACCGTGGAGGATAAAGATTTTTCCTATCAAAATTGTACAAAAAATATTTGCCCTGATTTAAGTAAAATAAATGTGGTAGCTATAAACTAAAATATAACATAAATATCTTCGAGATCCTCACGTAAAATATAGTTTTAGTATAAATAGATTTAAAATACATAGACCATGTAAAACATTAGTTCTGGCAATTCTATTTCAAAAAAATCAATTACCTACTATTTCGRGAAAAATATTTTAAAATTTCGAAATAAGTAAACTATAATTTGCTAGTTGATGGTATTGTGTAATAGTTATAAATTATAATACTAAGAGGGGTGTTTGATTACTGTAAATGAGTTCATAAAATATTAGCAAGGTACTGCAGTTGACATTTATTTCAGCATTTAACGCACCAGTTATTACTTCATTTCTTCAATGCACAAGAATATGTTTAGGCGTAGGTTGTGATGTATATTAATAATTTTAATATTATGGTTTTTGAAATGTTTTTTTTTATTAATATACATATTTTTGTTACAGATTCATCCAGCTGGCATGAGGATTAAAATATATGCGGCCATTTTATTGGTCGTCACTCTTCCATACGTCTTGTCACAGGTACATTAACTACTAGTAATTACATACCTACCTAGTTATTTACTCATTAATCATTATAAAATTATTTATCATAACGACTACGTTTTATTTTTTGGAGACAAACTTATTTGWATTATTACGTCAGGAACCTATTGTTCCAGTTACCTAAGGATATAAATATATAATATAATAATAATTTCATTGACAATTCCATTATTCTGCCTATTCGATATAATAATCTACTGCCGCAGAGACTGTGGTTCGCGGTTACGTTAAGACGTTCACTTCAAATTAAACGTAGTGATGTAACGTTTTTATATAGGTACTCTTTATTCATACATTTTATATTATTATAAGACCAGAAATGGAATGAATCAAAATATTCTAGGGGAAAGTGTTAGCATAATTCACGAAATTATACTCTCAAAGAAAATATTAATATAATGTATAGAATTGAAGCCCGTGCAGACTATCGAATTAATTAGATTGAACAAAAACATATTAAAGTTTTAAATATAATTATATAACTAACAAATTTAATACATATTTTTTTCCTAAATCTCGAAAAATAATAAGTTAGACTCTGGTTCTCCATCATTATAATATATACATTTATTTTCAAAGCACTTCGAAACAGAATAATTTCCATCTAGGAATTAAAAATGTTTATTTCTTTATGGAATAACAATGTATAAAACTGTAGGAATGCAGTCTGCCAGTAAAGTGTTTGATCTATTAATTAATATATAGAAAGGTTTCGATTGACCATCAGACTAATATGTATATCTGTTTGTTGTATAATAATGCAAAATATATATTTTGTTTGTAGACGGCACTACTGCACGTGTTCTCCGCCGTTAACCTTGTAAATTAATCGTGTCCGAAATTGTTCGGCCCTGTTGTTGTTGTAATTTCAAAAACCTTTACCTCAAGTTAGGTACACCCAACGATATTATTTCATATATTATAATACATATTATACATTCCTTACATTTATATTACAGTACATAGAATAATATGTACAATCCTTCACCTAAAAAAAGATCAATATTTCGACAATGTATACTCATATACCTGCTACGTATAATACTATAACCTACGTTTATTGTCAGGGCAACATGCGTACTATTTATCCGCGTACCTACCTACGGAATAAGTGTGCGAATACTCGTACATTTCCGTACWATTAATCAATTCCACTAGGTCCATGTATCCACTGTGAAAGTGGCACGGCTACATCACGACAGAATAATATCTATAAGAAAACACCTCTATAATGTTTCTCGACGGAATTAACTGTTGTATGCTCTAACTGCATTATAATAATATTATATATTATGTGCCCTCCGGTTATCTACATAATCGATAAACACGGCGGCGATGTACGCATAACATACGTGGTATAACCGTATTATAGGTATAGGAACTCTTGCGATTGAATATGTTTTTTTTTCCTGCATCTTCTCGCACGGGATACCTTCTATAGTGCTTTAATACACATATAATATTATAATATGCAATTCGTGTTACGTCATCATCATATTAGACCGRTGCTTAAGCTTTTAAAGTATACCAATGTACCATATTATATATCATTCATACAGATATATTAATCCCGTGTTCGCATTTATAATTATAAAATTGTATTTAACATAATTATTATATCTATAACAATATATCGATGTAACACTTCTCTATAAAACACAGTCCCTATACCTAATCACATACTATACACGGCCTACACGCCCTATATGAATATAAAACACATTATTGCCATACGATTTTGCGTGATAAGACCTTTAATTTGTAGTACGCCTGTAGTTAATTCCTCTTCCCTTAAACACACACATAATATACACAGTCACAATATACAATTTCGTATTATAGGCATTTAATATGGTATAATGTATTTATTATAGGTACCTGTTTTTTAGACAAGTACCTATAAACTTGTAAGTACCTATATTACGATTAATYTAATAATTAAAATTTAATTTAATAATTTACTTGTCATCTCAAGAAGAAAATACGTACCTATATTATAAATTCTGCAACTACTAGTATGAATTATAATATGCAATAGTTATATAGCCTATAATATCATATTATTATCATTGATTATATTTATACTTGACACTTGTATATAATAAATAATAGAATAAATAAATAAAAATATGCGTAATGAATATTGAATATTTGTAATCTCGATATAAGTGGTGGTAGAGTATGTTAGTATGTAGGTAAACGTATGTTGTATTTATTTTAGGTATACTTATATGATTTATGAATGATTAACCTCAGTATAA